GAGTAAGACTCAAAAATAAATAAATAAATAAATAAAAGAAAGATGAATGGGAATTATCTAGATTGGCAAGGGAGAAGAGCTGGGGCTCAATTTCAATCATACAGGGCATTATGTACCCCACAAAGCCTTATTTATTTTTTGAGAGAAGGTCACATCCAGGCTGGAGTGCATGATCACAGCTCACCACAGCCTCGGCCTCCTGGGCTCAAGTGATCCTCCCAGCTCAGTCTCCCAAGTAGCTGGAATTATGGCGCATGCCACTACACCCAGCAGATTTTTGTATTTTTTGTTTTGTTTTTTTGGTTATGAGGTCTCGCTATGTTGCCCAGGCTGCATGCAAAATCCTTCATTCTTTTTGCCATGGGGAACCATCAGCAATTTCTTTTTAGCAAAGGAGTGACATTAATAAATTTATGATTTAAATATACAATCCTTATAGTGAAGGAGACAAGATTGGAGGCAAAGACATCTGTTAGGAGAACATTTCATAGCTGAAGCACCACAAAAGTGGTGGTGATACAGATTGGAGAGTTATGTATCTGTCTGTATGCCCGATCCTACAAAGACGGAAAAAACATCTGAAGTATGGTTGTTGGTCTAAGGAGCTAATATGCTTTTAATGTACCTGTACAACTCCTGGGGACACCAAAAGTGAGCAGTATGCCCAAATATGAATTATGCCCCCGAAATTGTGCAAAGTGGAAGCTCTGGACCACAGAGAGATACCACAAGGTTGTCTTGGATGTTTAACATATGTTATTTTCCAATTTAATCCTTATTGCCACCCTATGGAAAAGGATTTTGCACCCTTTACAGATGAGGAAACTGAGCTCAGAGATACTATGTGACTTGCCCATGATTATATAGATAATAAGTTGCAGATTTGGAATCTGAATGCAAGTCTGTCTGATTTTATTCTCACATGGCCTCTGCTTCTGCATTGTCCATACTACTTCATACACTCACAGTGTAAGCACTGCACTTTGTACAAAGCAGGTACTCAGCACACCTTAGTAAGCGTTCCTGGACATGCTTGGAGAACTCTGAAACAGACACAATGCCTGGAGAATCCTCTCTGCTTGCATTTGTTGTATCTCTGGGGCTGTTGCCTTGCTATCTTGGGAGTCTGTGAACATTCATTATTGCTTAAGAGCTGCCCCTTGGCTCCTCTAGGCTTCTCTAGAACTAAAGGAAGAATCACCCTGGGAGCCACTATCAGATTCTCACCAAGTCAGGCACTGTGCTGCTGTTTTATATGTACTTTCTCACTTCATCTTCACAACAACCATTTTTATAAACCAGGGGTCTTCTTGTTGCAAGTAATGTAAAACCTAACTAAAACTGGCTTAAATGATTAGAAAATCCATTGGTTCATGCAACTGGAAGTCAAGTGAAGTGTAGTCTCTAGGGTCAGCTTGATCCATTACTGAGTCCATTTCACCTCTGGATATCTTGGGTACCATGGAGGCTGTTCTTCCCTGAGGTTCTGGGAGTGAGTTGCTATGTGGGCCAAGAAAGAGAACCCAGCTACCCTTTCATTTCGAAGGAGGCACTTAAAAACATATGCCCTGTGACCTAGAGATTTGAGTGGACTACCTTTAGGTCCTATGTCCCAGTATTTTTTTTTTTTTTTTTTTTGAGTTGGAGTCTCACTCTGTTGCTCAGGCTGGAGTGCAGTGGCACACTCACGGTCACCCCAGCGTCGACCTGCTGAGCTCCACGATTCTTCCACCTCAGCCTTCCAAGTAGCCGGAGCTACAGGTGTGCGCTGTCACGCCTGGCTAATTTTTTTGATTTATTGTAAAGACGAGATCTCGCCAAGTTGCCTGGGTTGGTCTCAAACCCGTAGGCTCAGGCAATCCACTCAGCTCGGCCTCCCAAAGTGCTAGGATTATAGGATGAGCCACCAAGCCTAACTGTATTATTTATTTATTTATTTGAGTTGGAGTCTTACTCTACCACCCAGACTGGAGTGCAGTGGCGCAATCATAGCTCACTGCAGCCTCCAATTCCTGGCCTCAAGCAACCTTCCTGCCTCAGGCTTCCGAGTAGCTGGGACTAGAGGTACATGCCACCATGCCTAGCATGTTTCCCAGTATTTTAATTTTTCTCTACTTTCAGTCACGAATGCTCAGTAGAAACATCCCCAGAAGTTCAATACCATTTCTCACAAGAAGTGTAAACAGTCTTTTTTAAAAAGAATACCACTCATTCATTTTCTTGCTCAGCAAATGCAGAGCTTCTGCCTGGTATTAGGAACATCTTATGCTATGTCAGGTGCTAGGGTCACAGGAATAAAGAAAACCCAATCACTGCTCTCAAGGAGTTCTCTAGGAAAACAGAAACAAAACCACTAACTTTGACCACAGTGTGATAGATACAATCCTAGGAGGGTTGAGCATTGTCCTAAGGGAACCCAGGCTGTGTTAGGCCATATAAAGGCTGGACTTGGTGGCTCAGCCTGTAATCCTGCGCTTTGGACGGCTGAGGTGAATAGATTGCCTGAGCCTGAGGGTTCGAGACCCGCCTGGACAACTCGGCAAGACCTCATCTCTACAAGAAATCAAAAAAAAAAAAAAAAAAATTAGTCGGGCGTGGTAGCACGCTCCTGTAGTTCCAGCTACTTGGAAGGCTGAGGTAGAAGGATCGCTGGAGCCCAGCAGGTCGAGGCTGCAGTGACCGGAAGTGGCCACTGCACTCCAGTCTGGGCGACAGAGTGAGACTCCAACTCAAAAAAAAAAAAAAAACCAACAAAAAAAGTCTAGTCTAAAAAAAAAAAACACTAGTTTCTAGTGTTTTAGCCTTCATTTCTGTTACAGACCCATTACTGGTTAGAAATTCTATCTGACACCTGTCAGTATTGCTTTGGCCATTTGAATAATTTTGAAATGTTCAGCTATTTCACCTTTCATTGAGACTTGGAAGCAGAGCACCATGACAGGGCATTTTTGATTTTCTAATTTGGGGCCTGAACACAATTTAGCCAGTATTAACACCCCCTGTTCTGTCCAGCTTCTGTTTGCATTCATTGATAAATGCTTTTTTAAGGTAACATGGGCACTCTCATTTTGTAACTAGAGGAAGAGAGTTTTTGGTGGGAGGAGGACAGAGGGGAGGGTTCTTTGATTCCTCACTGACCCTTTGGATGGGTTTTGAGCCTCTGTGGTTAGAGGTCTCAGGTCAGACACAGAAGGAACTATTCATGAGAGGAGTTATAATACGTTGGGCACAAGTGACCTGCTTAAGGGCCTGGGTGGCAAAAGGTCACAGATTTGGCAAGTCAGGGAGAAGAACTTCTTCTCTGTCTCTGAATGGAACTCAATTCTGCTTTCACACCCTAGGGATTAGTTTAGGATCTAAGGATAATGGCACAGGCACTGGCAATCTTATGATGGACATTAGACTCAGTGAGCTGTGTGGATAGCATGATGGTTGGTGGCTGACTCATGTCCCCTGGGCACATGTGAGGCATCCCTCTGAGGATCCCCTCTAGAAATGACTGGAGACTTTTGGGGAGGGAGGCTGAAGTCTTGTTATTATATAAATGGGAGCTTGAGTCAGTGTAAAATGGACACTGAAAGCAAATGTGACTAAAATTTGTAATCATAATGAAAGAGAGCCTGAACAAAGTAGTTAAGAAGTAAAGCAAGCAGGGTGCAGTGGCTCACGCCTGTAATCCCAGCACTTTGGGAGGCAGAGGTAAGAGGATTACCTGAGTTCAGGGGTTCCAGATCAGCCTGGGCAACTTAGTGAGACCTCATCTCTACAATAAATCAAAAAATTAGTCAGGCATGGTGGCATGCGCCTGTAGTTCTAGCTACTTGAAAAGTTGAGGCAGAAGGATTGCCTGAGTCCAGCAGGTCGAGGCTGCAGTGCCCGTGAGCATGCCACTGCACTCTAACCTAGTTGGAGAGACTCCAACTCAAAAAAAAAGGAAAGCAAAATGTAGACACAACTGAAGCAAACTATTTAAAGCCAAACTCCAAAGACCACCTGAAAAACTGAGACTTGAAACTTATAAACAAGATGGAAAAGAATTACTTTTTCCTTTACTTCATTTACTGAATCCTTTTGTCTCTAAACTTGGTAAGCAACAGTTTCTTCATCTGAAAACTGTGGATAACGATACCTATCTTGTTTACTTTAGAAGATAAATCAAAATTATGTTGAAATTAACATGAAAACATTGAAATAGAAAAGGGATAGCTTGCAGGGTTTGAAGCAGTTACCTATTGAGTACTCAGTGAAGGCTTTCCTTCTTACTTTTTAAAAAATAGGAATGATGATTGAGATATTTTATGGGTAGCAGGCTTGGATTCCAGGACTTTTCCAACAGAACAGAAGCACCTTGTAGTCCCAGAGTTTCCTCTTTTTCACAACTACCCTGAGGCAAGAGCTTCTATTATTATCATCTCATGTGACAGAGGATAAATTGAGGTTTGGGGCTTAGTTGACCTAACATCAAGTCTCAAAAAGAAGCAGTGGTAGTTTGAGACCCTGACCTAGAACTCTTTCAAGAGTTTAGGTTGCTTCCACCCTTACACCTGCACAAATAGCTGTCCACACAGGTAGCACATTACAGGCGTCTGAGGAGCATGTAGCAAATGCCGAGAGTTCTTTCCTCAGGCCAAATAGCATAGTAGATAAGTATTTCCCCACCGGATTTTACTGAGCAGCTTGAGTTTTCAATCTCTGAATGCCTCGTCTCTTTGGGGATCTCGCCTCAGGAGAAGCTAATATTAACCAATGAGCGAAGGGAATTTTTTTTTTTTCCATCCAGGAAGATGAAGACTTCAGAAACTTGTTAGCCGAACCTTGCAGGGACCAATGGGCGAAGAGAGCCCAAGGGCGGAGGGGCGCTTCCCATGCCCCTTGGGAGTTGTAGTTTCTCACAGGGCCTATGCGCGTTTGGTGGCCAGCAAGGAACTACAATTCCCACAATGCCGCGCGCCGCCCGCCCTGCCGCCCGCCCGCACTTCTCGCCTGGCTCCCAGTACCGCCTCTCCGCGGCGGCGGCTGCGACCGCTGAGGCACCATGGCCGACGGCGGCGGCGGCCCCGCGGAGGCTGCCAGCCCCCGCGGCTCTCCGGGGCCGGCACTGCGGGCCCCGCGCACTGTCGGGCCGAGCGGCGGCGGCGGCGGCGAGACCCAGCGGACGGCGGCGCTGGCGCTGCGTTTCGACAAGCCCATCAAGCAGGCCTTCTACAACACGGGGGCCGTGCTGTTCGTGTGCCTGTGCTGCGGCGCCGCCGTGCTCGTCTACTTCATCCTGGAGGCCTTCCTGCGGCCGCTGCTGTGGGCTGTGTTGTGCGGCACCTTCCTGCACCCTTTCAAGAGCTCGCTGACGCGCCTGGGCCGCCACTGGCTGCGGCGCCTGCACCGCGCGCACACGCCCATCGTGCTGGCCGCGCTGCTTCTGCCGCTCTGCTTCGTGGACTACGGCGTCGAGGCCCTGGGTGAGCAGGCGCTGCGCCGCCGCCGCCTGCTTCTGCTGCTGGGCGCTGGCGGCCCGCTCCTTTACGGCCTCTACTGCCTCGGCAGCTACCTGGGCGTGCAGGTGCTGCTGGCGCACGCCGGCGCGCTCATCTGCCGCGGGCTGGACTACTTCAGCAGCCTGTGGGTGAGTGACGGGCGCCCCGGGATCCCCGTGGTCCTGGCGGGCACGCCACACCCTTCCTCGCACTCCCCCCAGTTCACTGGGGTGCAGTCATGCAGCTGCTCCTCGCGACAAAGCGTCACACCTGCGCTGCAGTGAGTGTCAGTCTCCGCCTTTCTTCCCACACCTGAGGAACCTGGTGTACTTTCTTCTAGAAAGAGGGCGGATGTGACATGAAACAGCCCTCGTTGCTCCTTCCCCCTGCCCCGTTTCGCCCCTCATCAGGGGACAGGGCGTTTTCCATTTTGAGAGCAGCTGTTCCATTTTGCGTGGAGAGGCCCCAAAGCACGGCAGGAGGGCTTGGTTTTACTCCTAGTCGGAGAGGGGAGGGGTTCGCCGGCCACCCTCATTTTTGCACATCTGGATGTCAGAATTGGAAGGGACTTAGAGATTTCAGTGCAACTTGCCAACCGACAGATAGGAGAGGTGACCGAACAGGGCTAATTAGGGACAAAGAGGGGACCGAATGATTCAGGTTTCCCAAGTCCTAAAAAAAAGCTTGTTTCACCGGCTAGTGCTGCCTCTCAGTTTAGGTGAGTTCGGTATAGTTTGTGCAAGGCGCTGGGTGCTGAGCCGCTTGGGCCTCTTCGTCTCCACATTACTTCTTTGGAACTGCTTTTGTTGTGCAGGGGTTGCTGTACCATAGCACGCCTCCTCCCGCCTTAATTACAGTAACCCACTAGCCCATCGGTTGACGGAGTGGTGGATTTGTGATGCTTTGATCACCCTGAGCCAACGCTTAGTAAATCAGGGAGCTTTAGAGTTGAAGAGATTTCAAAGATAATCTAGGAACACAATTCCTAATTCAGACTATGGTGTAGACCAGTTAATTATTCACATATTTAACAACATTAACTGGGGGCAGTTAAAAACAAGTGGATATTTAGTGCATAAGAGTGCTAATTGCTTAATAAACAGCACCATTTAAAAATAAATTGATTCACTTATTTTGTCATTGAAGTAAAGTTCAGTGTACCTTTACATCAGTAAGTTGCAGAATAATTCCCCTTATTTGTCAGGCAAAGTTTTGACATGCCTAAGGTTATTGGTAGACTAATAATTGACCCCGGAACTCCTGTCTTCTTTTGTTCTGTCAATACCACTTTTCTTTCTTTCTTTCTTTCTTTTTTTGAGTTGGAGTTTCACTCTGTTGCCCAGACTGGAGTGCAGTGGCCACTTCCGGCCACCGCAGCCTCAACCTGCTGGGCTCCGGCTATCCTTCCGCCTCAGCCTTCCGGGTAACTGGAACTACAGGCGTACGCTACCATGCCCGGCTAGTTTTTGGTTTATTGTAGAGACGAGGTCTTGCCAAGTTGCCCAGAGGGGTCTCGAACCCGCGGACTCAGGCAGTCCACTCACCTTGGCCTCCCAAAGTGCTGGGTTTGCAGGCTGAGGCCACTGAGCCCGGCCTAATACCACTTTTCAATTCAAGTTAAAAGTTGGTTAAGCATGTGTTAGGTAACTGTACTTTGTGAGGAATTAAGTAAGATGCAAGCCCTGTCTTCAAGGTGATATAATCCTAAATGAGCATATTCAAATAAAGATGACAGACACACAGATAAATGTTCATTACCCACTATTTATGAGCCACAGGCCCAGAAAATGTGACTGTCCCAAAGTTATATTGTTTATGAGCTAATCTGTGGTTCACATGCATGGAGGCCCAGTTCAGTGCTCTTTCTCTTTTACCTTGTAGCGTTGTGTAAGATAAATCTGAAAAGCAAATGACCTGCCTTGTTCCACCATTTTTCTCTGCTAGGTGTGTCCTAATTGCCCTGTTAGTTCAGACATGTTAGAAAATTTGAAGACCATTTACAGCAGAAAATTCATTTAGATGGATTGAATGCCTCTGATATAGAAGGCACAACACTGTGCTGTTAAGAAAGATAAACTTGATTCTTATACTTAACAAATTCAGCCTTGCCAAAGTCAGATACATTTAGAGTCTGCTAACACTTGACTATTAATCCTGTCCGAGTAGCACACATCCATCAAACTGTAGGAAATTAGAAAAGATAGGCCTGTAGGAAATTAGAAAAGATATATTAGTATAGTATACTTTTATACTAGCATAAGAAGTTGAATACATGAGTAAAATGGCATGGTTAGTTAAAAGTGAGACGTTTCTGCCAGCAGTTTCATGTACTCAATGGGAGTTGAGGAATTGAGTACTTGTAAAAAAGTATCCACAGTTTAGTGTATATAGCTTTGAACATCTTTTTACTGAGAATGTACCTTCATCTTTGTATTTTACTTGTGTGAATGAGTGGAAGAGAGGTAGGAGCCAACACACTGGTTAGATTGAGGGTGGGGAAAGGAAGATCAAGCCAATTACAGATTTTAAAAAGGATTGAAACTAGGCTGTTTGGTTAAAGTATTGGAAGCAAGGGAGTTAGAAAAAACCCCAACAAATCCATTATAAAAGAGACTGTAGGGGTTAATGAGGAGTGAGTAGGGAGTGGTGGAAGGGTTCAATCTGAAAGAGTAGAGCCTCCAGGTTGACCTGAATCTGAGAGAAGGTGTGGAGTTGGCCCTTTGCTGACTGCACTTAGGAGTGGGTAGTAGGATGGGGGTGAGGTGTACCTGGGAAGCAGAAAGTGCTGATTAAAGCATGACATGAAGTGAAAGAGGTCATGTGACTGGGCAGGGCCAGGCCCACTCTAATTTTTCCATCTCATAGTTCACAGCACTCCAGCAGAGCTACATGTTAAAGAGCGGTGGTCTTTATGCTTTCTAGACAACTTGTAAATATGAGCCTGCAGCTGAAGAGAGGTGTAGATGCGAGAGGCAGAGAGAGTTAAATTTAAGCAAATCCCCATTTTGACGAGCTGACAATTCATAGTTCAGAGCATCTGCCATGTGTCAGGCACTGGATTTAGTTTGTTTATGGGTATTATTTCCTTGTCATAACAATTCTGTAAGGTGAGAGGGAGGGATTTCTGATTGGAGAAAACTAATTTGGAGAGTGGTCTGTTTGTGCTAGCAGTAAGTGGCATTCAGTAGACCTATCAGCTGCTGAAATCCTCCTGCTGTCATCAAAACACTTTGTAGTATAGTCTTCAATAAGGATTAAAAAAATTTTTCCTTAAATACATTGTGTTTAATATTTTAAGTATAATTGATCCTAATTTTTAGGGAAAAAAGTATCAGGATTGGACTAACCACAGATGTTTCCCTCAAAGACTCCTGGATTCTAGTCAACTATAAGCTCAGTCATCTCTTCTTTCTTCTTTTTTGTCCTGATATCTGTACAGTTTTTCCAGGTTCTGTCCACTTTTTCTTTGTAGTGTCTTCAGTATCTGTGTTTTCCTTTGTGACCAGTTTATCCTTCCAGTTCAGTTCCTTCATGTCACTTGTGGATTCTGTCAGGCTTCTAACACTCCATCCTGCTTACAGGTGAAAGACTAGTCATTTATGGGATGAGTAATTCTTTTTCAACAGTTCCAGATATATTAGCTTACTGTACTAGCCGGGCTCAGTGGCACAGCCTGTAATCCCGTGCTTTGGGAGGCTGAGGTGAGTGGATTTCCTGAGCCCACGGGTTCAAGACCCGCCTGGGCAACTTGGCAAGACCTCATCTCTACAATAAATCAAAAATTATCCAGGTATGGTAGCGCACACCTGTAGTTCCAGCTACTTGGAAGGCTGAAGCGGAAGGATCACCGGAGACCAGCAGGTCGAGGCTGCAGTGGCTGGGAGCGGCCACTGCACTCCAGTCTGGGTGACAGAGCGAGACTCCAACTCAAAAAAAAAAAGGATACTGTACTGACTTATTAAGTGACTTCAGAACACTTAAAAAAAAAAATCATCTGTCACACCAAGCTCACACGTGACTCTGCCGCTGGTGTCTCCCAGTGGTGTAGCGTTGTGTAAGATAAATCTGAAAAGCAAATGACCTGCCTTGTTCCACCATTTTTCTCTGCTAGGCGTGTCCTGATTGCCCTGTTAGTTCAGACATGTTAGAAAATTTGAAGACCATTTACAGTTTTTTCAATAGTAATAGATTTGTTTTCTCCGTGGTCTCTGATCCCATTGTTTTTGTCTAACTTTATAAAGAAATGTGACATGGAAAGAATAGTGGCTGAGAGATCAGAAGTCCTTAAGTTCTAAACTTGGCTCTGCTGGCAACTTGCTTTGTGACCTTGGACAGACCAGGGCCCTGCTTTGGGCCACTCAACCGCAGTTGTGTAAAGTGAGTGATTGGCTTGGATGATTTCCAAGATTCCATGATATTCTATTTTACAGACCACAAAAGGCTCTACAGAAGTGCTCATTGCTCAGCCATTCACTACTGACTCCATTCCACTTATAAACCTAGGCTTGTTTCTGCTTGCCTGGCAGCAGTGAAGAGGAAAGTTTTCAGTGCTTAATTCTTTCTCATTTAAAGAGTGATTATAAAAATTTTTGGCTCTTAAGTTGTCATATGACAAGAGAATGGTTTTCAAATTAGAATTAAACTGTTTTGTTTTAAATTAATTAATTAATTAATTTTTGGAGTGCAGATCTCACTTTTTCACCCAGGCTGGAGTACAGTGACATGATCATGTGTCATGGCAGCCTCAACCTCCTGGACTGAGGTGATCCTTTTGCCTCAGTCTCCTGAGTAGCTGGAACTACAGGGGCATGTCTCCATGCCCAGCTAATTTCTTTGTATTTTATTTATTTATTTATTTTTTTGAGTTGGAGTCTCACTCTGTCACCCAGGCTGGAATACAGTGGCACACTCATGGCCACCACAGCTTCAACCTGCTGGGCTTAGGTTCCGCCTCAATCTTCCAAGTAGCTGGAAATACAGGTGATACTACCACACCTGACTAATTTTTTTATTTATTGTAGTGACGAGGTCTTGCCAACTTGCCCAGTCGAGTCTTGAACCCCTGGACTCAGGCAATCCTCTTGCCTTTGCCTCCCAAACTGCTTGGGATTACAGGCTTGAGCCACTGTCCTGGCCTTTTTATTTTTTG